TTCTCTTGCCTTGGCCTCCCAAGTAGCTGGGACTACAGGCACCTGCCACAACACTGGCTCTTTTTTTTTGTTGTTGTTGTTGCAGTTGTTTAGCTGGCCCAGATGGGGTTGGAACACGCCACCCTTGGTGTATGTGCCTGGCGCTGTAACCACTGTGCTACGGGCACCAAGCCAGTTCACTGGAATCTTAAGTGAAAAAAAGCATATTGGAAAATAATGTGCATATATTATTTGTGTATCTGTGCATAAAAGACTAAGTATATACATTAAATTATTTGCTTGATAGACCCATTAATGAGCAACTTTCTTTGATATACTTTCTTAAACTTTCATAAGTTTATAACTTGAATATGAATCATTTTTATAACCAGGAAAAAGTTAATTTAAAGAAAATATGCCAGGTGTAATAGCATGCACCTATAGGTAGGAAGATCCCTTAAACCCAGGAGTTTGAGGTTGCAGCCTGGTAACAGAGACTATCTCTCCAAAAATAAGTAAAATAAACGAAAACACTCAAAAATGGAAAATTTTAATGTAAGAGCAAACAAAAAAATAGTAAGACTTACCAATTGAAGTAAAAAAGCCTGGATGGGCTAAAGACTCGGGAAGTAGACTCCCTACAATTAAAATATACCAGATCATCTTGGAAGATTTAACTTTATAGGTTCACAAATCTACAAGAGAGAAATATAGCCATTATTAAAAAAAAACAAAAGGAAGGAAGGAAAAATTCCTTACCTATTCTTTCTATAAACAAAATGAAAGTTAAGACTCCACGGTTGCCATAGAATTAATGTTAATGCTTATAAATTATTTAATAATTTAATAATAGCTACTATATTATTCCTTCTATACTTACAGAAGTACCTTGATATTTCACATAAGAGAAAATGTACATTTTTATTACCTAATAATTTATGCTTAAAATCACAAGCTGAGTTTTTCTCCTTAGTTACTACTAACAATTACTGAATAACTGAACAGTAGCAGCTTTTTCATACAGCCTGAATAACAATTTTCTCTGTCATCTATGTCTAAACCACTAATTTCCCATAAAAATATATTAATTTGTTGATTTAAATATGACCTATGCATTTTAAAGATGTCCGATTATGTTTTAAAGTAAAACAACTTCAGAGGTTTCAGATTAATACTTAAAATTACTAATGTATTCCATTTTTTTCCTACATGGCTTAAATTTTTAAAATATATTCAGTCCAGGCATAGTGGCTCATGCCTATAATCCTAGCACTCTTGAGAGGTTGAGGCAGGTGAATTGCTTGAGCTCAGGAGTTTGAGACCAGCCTGAGCAAGAGCCAGAACCCATATCTAAGAATAGACGGGTGTTGGCTCAGCACCCATGGCTCAGTGGTTAGGGCACTGGCCACATACACCAAGGCAGGCAAGTTTGAACCCAGCTGGGGCCTGCTAAACAACAATGACAAGTGCAACGACAACAACAACAAAATAGCTGTGTATTGTGGCGGGCACCTGTAGTCCCAGCTACTTGGGAGGTTGAGGTAAGAGAATTGCTTAAGCCCAAGAGTTACAGGTTGCTATGAGCTGTGACTCGACAGCACTCTACTGAGGGC